ATAATTATTCATGAGCTAAAATTCTTTTGGAGAAAAACATGAACATAGAAATTTAAAAACCAAATCTAAAAGTCTACTCATCGAATTCAATTATCTGTGCAGGGTTCTAAAAACGCACTTGAATGTGTAAATAAAATAATAGCTAAACTATTGAGTTAAATAATGATACAAATTCTCACTGAGTTAAGTTTAAATGTCACGCTCACTGAAGATATGGTAACTCTAAACCTTATACAAAATTCGCTTTCTCAATTGAGGATAATGCGGCGGTCTTGCCTCAGGCTACTGCTTACCAGTAAATCAGCGTCAGGTGCGTCGATAACCTCGTCCATCGCTGTTGGGGTGACAAATAAATTATTCGTGAGCCAAATGTCGTTTTACAGCCAGCGTAGACAGCCGTGGCATGTGCCCCGTACCCGAGGGAACTTAGATTCTATTCTGCCAATTTAAATATCAATATTATTGATTATAAAATTTAAATTCAAGTTTTCGTTATTATCAGCTTTAAATTTATATACTTTATGACATTGTTGGGACTCTCAGAACACCCAACTAGCCTACAGGATCGTATAGGTTCTGGATATTAACGAGTACTTTTTAAAACACTTTATTAACACTTTAAATGAACACAATAAATAATAAAGAATAACCTCGGCACATTAACACTTTAACACTTCATCTTGGAACACTTGGCTTTCGAGACTAACTCTTGACTCTGAGATTTGAGGCTTTCCTACAAAAGAAACAAATAAAACAGATAAATAATAGTAACCCAAACATCAAAGTATTCATACATATATAACCTAAGTATTTACACAATTTGTTCACATCAATCTATTCAAGTATATATTTACATGTCCACATCCTAACGCAGCACATACCTCCGCTTCGGCTTTCCACGACAGAATAATCTTATCACCTTCTCCTTCCGCACTTAGCCTTCGGTAAACTCTAAACTAAAATGACAAATAAAATAATAAACCATTTTGGAACAAATATTATCGCCTCGCATTACATTGAAATAACAAACTATTTCTATCCTTTACAACATCACAGAACCTACATTTTCAACTATTTTTCTGCATTCCATAAAAATGATCATATACAAATAATCGACACGAATTTTCAATGGGTGTCTCTCTATCATTATTTTAAACCACCGCTGACAATCGCGCTTCACGTGGCTGCCATAGCTTGTCAAGCTATCACACGAGTCACCGAATTTTAAAGCAGCTTGCAGTGATGCCTCACAAAAATTCACCACAAAAAAATATGTTGTAGTGCATGGTTTGAATGAAGTTTGATTCGGTGTCAGGCTCACCTCATGCGGCTCTCTATTCAGGCATTTAACTTCATTAACTTTGAGCATGTAAAACATTTCGCTGATTCAAACTCCTGTGAAATACTCAAATTAGAGTGCCATGTAGAGCACAGTGGTCGAAAAAAGATCAATTTAAAGCAGATGAACAGCAGGTAGCGAGTGAAAAATTAATTTCAATTAAAAATCAAGTTTTTTTCCTGTTCCAGCGATATTTTGAACGCGAGCGTCAAGATTTAGATTTGATGGAATTTCGTTTGCAGCCAGAGAAGTAATCTGTTTACATGTTCATTTCATTATAAAAGTGTGGTATTTCAGTATCAGAGGAAACAATAATTCTTTAGCATGTATATATATATAATGCGCTTCTGATTTTACTTTACAATTAATGCGTTTGGAATCTATTAATAAGTTCATGGTATACTCTGCATTTTTCTTAAGAGGGATGGATAATGCACAGTTTATATTTGAACAAGAGCATATATAGTAGCTCTACAATATTCAGATACCATATACTACGTGTAAGTATAGAATATTCATAATGCAGGCATTAGAGCAAATATTTCAGGTAGAGAAAATCTCGATAGATGCATCATATTGAACCTTACGCAGATTGCGAGGCGGGCATTTCCAGTAGCGCACGCTTTAGGTCTATCGTCTAAAATTCCCTTGAAGATAAATCTCACTAAGAACCCGAGCGTCGTTTGTTTTCCAAAACGTTTCTTACTTTCCTTAGCAAATAACGTGGAGTTTCTCAAGCTCCTAGGAGCTCAAAGAAATCGTCTGCATCCGTCATGCTTTTAAAGTGCGTATAGCTGCGTTCACTTTGAGCACCCCAACGGAATGCTTTGAAATCTCCGTCCAGCAACAGACCAAATCTGGAAAATTTCGTTACTATACACCAAAGAAATGAAATCTTTTTAAGGTAGCAGTCCTTTCTGAGAAATTAGTTTAAATCAACGACAGGTATCTTCGCTATGTTTAATTGGTTTAAATTATTTGCATAAACAATTCCGACAAGTGGCCGCCTATGAATGCACCGCCATACAGATTATATTCTGTTCACATTTTCTGCTTTTTGGCCTTTGCCCGCAAGATTTACCGCCACCAGGTCATGTGTTGCGCGGTTAAAACACCCGCCAAGGTTTAAACTGGACACCTTTTGGCAGTTGGCATGAAAAAGTGAAGTCATTCCCATTTTTTTCTTGCAAACTGCGGATTGTGAATGAGCTGCAAATGTTGGTTGCGTAAGTAGAATGTCGTTGGCAAGCGTGTAGTTCATGGATTATTGTGCAATGCTATTCGCCGTATGCCTGAATTTTTGTGCCGTTTGTATTCAAACAAGCATCTGCCTTGCAACCAGATGAGCGCTCTTTTTGCATATATTTTTGCTGTATTATCGTTAAAGTCTTTGTTTAGAATAGTTATTTGAATGCCAGGTAGAATTTATGGCAATTAGATTTATATTTTTGCGAAAATATTTTGATGCGCAAAGAGATCAATACAATATTTTACATCTCAAATGCTCCATTTTCTACTTATAGATTCTAATTGCAGTTTCTGCCTGAAACAATGCTTGTATTTCTTATCTCCATCCCACGTTTTGTGATATCCTCTCCAACAAGAGTTTGTATACTCTACCGTTATTACTCCAGGAGCGATAAAAATAGTGATTGTGCCGGTGCTTATCTGGCCACATCGATTGATTTCTTCAGAAGCGACAACGATCACAGACTAGCACCCGAATTTCTGTCTCTGATTTTTTTTTGCTAGACTATTTCTCGTAGAAGAAAACCAGAAAACCTCCATGCAGCATTGCTAGTGCCCTAGCGCTCTTAAACTAATTGAGCAGCAAGCAGCTGACCATTTAAAAAATCGATACTCCGAGGAATTTTATTCTCATGAAGGCATTTTTAGACCAGCTAAGAAGCGCCGATGAAATTCTCTAAGTTATGAAAGATTTATGATGAGTTGCGGAAAATTTATTATTGGGTACAATTTATGTTAATAACATCACTATATGAACATCAAGAAGTAAATAATACAGTAAAAAGTGAATGAATGAACAGACTCGGGCAGAATGCGGTAATATTTGATAAAAGTCTTCTAATTAATAAAATAGGATATTAAAATTACATAAAATACTATGGCCATGATATTAAACTCAGTGGTACTTGAGCTGAGCAGGTAGGAACATCGCTTATATAGCAATAAATCTGGTAATTTTTATGGCAGAGAGTTTGTGGGCCTGTAATGTTGGTGATGACCGGCCTATATACGGGGGCCTGAGCCATCATTTCTTACGAGCTTGAGGATTGTGTTGCCTGAGACCAATGAAACTTATGACTTAAGGACCGCAAATCCAATGGCTTTGCCGACGGTAGCGACTCTACAATCGATTATTGGTGGCCATGAGTGACTTATGATCGGCCATAGAGTGGACCGTGATCGGCCCACCAGAAATTACCCAAATATTTTCAGTAGGGTAACAGGCGAGGCCCGTCTCCTCCACAGAGATAAAAAGACAAGTAAGGAAGAAAGACGTGGACAATAAACGGCATTGTTGTCAGGCGCTTGAGGCTCAAGAGGGGATGTAATTCCAGCCGAGGCCTGAGGAGTCGGCCTCAGGAAAATGAGCAAGCTGACGACGGGACATGGCGGAGAAGATGTCAGCTCAATCGGGATTCAGTCTTTTTTATATTAAATAAATCTAAATTTACTTCAGGTTCAAGGTGAGGTTGTAATTACCATTTTTCGGCTATTAATGTGAAACAGAAATTATACTCAACTATGAAGAGAATCGCGTTAAGCTATCGTCGTGTCGAATATTGTCTGATGCCGAAGGAAATAAAATGTAATATAAGCTACAGCGGCGATCAATTGCGTTGCTAATAAAAATTGTGGAAGATTGCAGCTAAATAACGATTGACGTCAGGCGCCGATGAAAAAGCCGAATTCAAAGATTATTAATCCTTTGAAAATTAGGATGAATTTTCATATTTGTCAAGTTGTGCGTACAAATAAGTATGAAGCCTGTTATTAGTATTTGTACAGACGAAAGATGAAACCCTTATGAGCGAATTCAGGGGAAACAAGAGCAACAAACATGTACTCTTGGTGAGGGGATCCTCTCATTAGATAGGACGTCGGCGGTAAAAGTTTCGGCCCTTCAGACGACTCTCTGTTTCCAGAAACCAATAGAGCAAATTAAACATCGTCTTGGAGATGGCGATTACATTGTGGAGAGTGGCTCAAGTACCGACGAGATTAAAGGCAAGCAGAGAATTGCCGTTTGAGAACGAGACTCCTTAACGGAAGAGATGTAGCGCAAACACGTACGTGGGATACGGAAGTTGATGAACATCAGATATATTAGGGAAAAGAAACAAATAAGAATACGTGAGATAAAAACGACATGAAATGGCTGTAGAACGGAAAATAACGAATTTTGATCGTAAAATTTTGAGTGAATGGATTCTAATTTGTTTATCTTTTTCGTACCTGAAATATTTTACTGTACATATAAATTATTTATGCCTGAATATGTACGTACAATTTACTGGTGTGAAGTTATAAAATGCAATAGCTTTTCTTAAACTAGTAAAAATAATAAATACAATAGTGATGTACCATAAACATTTGTCTTTAACTTTATCACTAACCTATTTCTATCTATCGTCAGGTGCTGGACGCTAGGATGGGGAGCCATGTGTTCATCTGAAAATATTCAACTTGAGCAAAAGACACTACACTTCAGCCTAAATCTCAATAAAAAAACTGCTTCTGAAGTTCAGCTTTAGCTTCATATCTGCAACAGGCATGCAAAATAAGATGAAAATGCAATGGAAAATAACCCATAGTGAGATATTTCTTTAATCTTCGCATTCAAACACTAAGTAAATCTGAGGTCATGCTGCTTGTTTCTTCAAAGATGGACAGTAGAAATCAATATTAGTCGAAAGTCGTGAGAAAATAAACTATTCTGCATGATGGCTGACATTGCATCTCTACTGAGCTGTCTACTGGCTTTCCTCTTCCCCATCCATGGCGCTGCTAATCTCAACCTCTACCTTAAAAGAGAAGAAGTCAAAGGGCTCCTAGGTGAGTACTTTAATTTTTATTTTCATCTTGAAACTACCAAAGTCAACATCAACGGATTAGGAGTCAACGAGAGCAAAGTGAGTAATAACAAGTACCATGAAAAGGCATGATGCTAGACATAACAACCATAGAAGACAGAGGAAAAATTACTCCAAGGTATGCAATATCCAATTTTAGTTTTACTCGTAAAAGCGGCTCTTAATATCCAACATAATCCTTTAAGAGATAAAACCACTGGACTCAGAGAAGAGAAATAACAATTTGAAATTTTTCTCTGTAGAATTGACTGTTGATTCTAATCTGTGCTCTTCAAAGTATAAGAATTGAAATGACACTTGAGGTCATTCGGTTAGCCGTTGAAGAGCTCATACAATTTGAGTCCTCTTTAACTTGAATGTAAAACATAATACCTGGTGACGTAACTAAATTGAATCAATTATGCAAGAAATTTAACTCTGATGTATTATCTTCATTGATTTTTAGTTTGGTAAAAAGAGACAGCTTTCATAAAACGCTGAAAGTGCTTTAATGTTTCTTTAAGAAGTGACTAGAAATGACTTATATGCATAGTGTATTCAGTCACCCATCAGTTAGTCAATAATTTTATAATAAACACATTTCCCGTATGCTTTGCTTCTGCAGCTTTAAAAAAATTGTGACGTGCACTCACAGTCTCACTGAATATTAAATTTAAACACTCCCTGCGCTGCTCGACCAAAATGTTTTCCATTAAACCGTATGCAACTATTTATTCATAAAAACACTAATGGCTTCGGTAATTGAACTTTAATAAATAAAAATGCAGCTCGCGCTCTGCGTAGGCTACGTTTGATGCTTTATAGCAATAATTGTGACACGTATAAACACTTTAATCAAATTCTAAATTAACGATTGACAATAATAGACATATGTTGAAATTTTGAACGAAGTGCTTTAAAATTAGGATGCAGAAGTATTTCCTAGATGCCAATAACTTTTCTTAAATTTCTTTTACGCGAAGTAAAATTGAAATATGAATTTAATTGATGCAGTCTCGTCCCGATAATATACTCCATACTCCTTCAGCCAGTAAAGGGATATTCATGAACTGGAATAATGATGGACAATACTTCTCACCACAAATATCTATTTAATTTTCCTACCAAACGCCGTTAGTCGGCAAATTTTCTCGCACTAATTCTTCTGCCGTTGATCATGTACATGATTTCTGTACAAACATTTGTGTCGTCATTTAATTTGAACTAAAAATAGCTCTCTGGATTGCGGTCAGCTACTTTGCAGATGGACATCTGGCCGATGAAATTCTTTGTGATATTCTTATTTTTTCCCGTTGAAATGTCAAGACGTGGCAGGGGGCGACTTTGATTTATAACTAACTAGCGGCTGTACAAACAAAACTTTCCGAGTACACATAGCGGCCTAAGTACACAACAAGTGTACATAGTACACTTTTTAGAAAAGTAGCGGCCTAAGATAGATGATATATATTGGCATATATAAAATCTATCATCAGTGGGTTTAGCGTGAAATCTCATCTGTGCCTGGCTGACGGCGACAACAACTCATGACTATTTGTGATAGTTTCGGTCCCGGCTGAACGGTAGCACGGATACGACGTTGTTGTGACGCTGAGGCCGGCGGTGAGAGTGGCGTGGCTCGCGCTAAGCGCTGGGCATCGGAAACCAATAAGGCAAGCAACCCACAAGTGCGGTCACCAATTGTCTTGTTGTTTACTCGGCAAAACTGATGTGTGTGAGGGCTTGTTATCGTGCCAATGCTTGTCTCAATCTTCAGAACGGTCACTATAACGAAATTTCTCGGTAGCGTTCACCTTGCTTAAATAATTTGAGTAGACAGGCTGAAGAGTTCTGATGCGCTTATTCAAGTAATGTGGCTGCATTAAACAAGAGTTTTTACCTGTAAATAAAAATATTCATATAATATCAGCGGAAATTGTAATCAAGAATTACCGCCCCACAACCTCACACTACTCAAAGGCGTTGCTACTCGTACTTGAACATAACAACTAGTACTCTGATATTGGTTATACTGGGGACTAGAAGCAAATAATGATAAAATTATCACTAAGAATATAGAAGCAAATGTTCAATCAAGAAAAACTCGCTCAATTACAGTTTCAATTCCCTCAGGACGGAATATCGTAACCCAAAATTCATTAATCTTATAACTTCCAAAAACACTAAAATATTTTGTACCACTTCGTAAAATCCAAAAACCCATTTGGATGCAAGTAGTCATTGCGAGGCATCGGGACCCAATATGAACAAATAAAAAACTAATTCAGTTACGAGCGTTGCCAGGTCGTAAAAAACGACTAATGATGGCGACTGTGCCGTGGGAATTAAATTTACCGTCACGGGTTAAAATTACCTTTGATCCGTAATTCCCTCAAAGTAGCTGCACTTTCACCCAGCAAGAGCGCCATTGGAGCGGCAAAATAAGATGGCTATTTGTGCGGGACTCCCCTCAAAACAAGCCAATAAAATGAATGAAAATATCACTCTGAAGTTCCGTCCCTTTCGTCGCCGACCGCAATGCCCGCGGAATATAAACTCGATTTTCAGTGTTGAAATGAAATGGGGCAGAGCATGTTATTTCCCGGCATTCTTGCCACGAACAATTTCTTATATCCATAAAATCAACGCAATGTGCCACGCCGAGTCCCAAACTCACTAACTTGACTGGAAGATCGTAACTTAATTAACACGTTTACAAATAAATTATTCACTGCAATAAAAAAAACAAATTTTTTGAAGATTTTAATCATTCAAATTCTGGAACGCTGAAAAGTTTCGGTTAAAAAATTTAATTTTTTACGTATCGATTCAGTCGTACGTTGTTCCGGTTGGAAACACTAACTGATTTTTACATAAAAATTTTTTGTAAATAAATGTAAAATTATATACAAAAATTATTCTCTTTACGATACAAAAAGCAGTTAATCCAAGGGTAGGCAAGCTCTTCAGATGTTAATCTCAACAGCCAAGAAAGGTTTGCTACCGAGCGAGGACCACAAGCATCTCGTGATTAAGTACAAGAAATATTATATTATAAGTATTTGTAATATATTATAATAGAAATATTATAATATATTACAAGTACAAGAAATATTATAACTTAGCGGAAATCGAATTTTTGTCTTTTTCTACCTCAAGGCTTAGAGAATTAATATTGACTCACAATTTTGGATATTCAACCTTCTGTGAATGTTTTGAGCCTTTTCTTCTTTTAAAAATTACCCATTGCAGAAAATTTACTTTCAGATCAAGGGGAAATTTGTATAAACACACGATTAAATAAAAGTCAAACATTTCTAGTCAATACCATACGAAAGAGTTCCGTTCAAACTTTAGGTTCCGATGGTTCGAATCAAGAACGGCAGGAGCAGCAGCAGATTTTGCGTATAAAACAGGGAGTATGCGGTGCAGCGGAAGCATCGCAATTTTTTATATTTTTGACGGATTATGTGCAGCAAGCGTACACTACTTCGTATTACTTTTGTACCCCGTGAAAAGTTAACTTAGTCCTCTCTTTCAGTGTAAAATTAAATGCGTGGAAATACTTGGATGATATTGTAATTTCTTTCAGCGACTCTTAAATTGTACGCATTTTAAGCATATGCCTTTTCGTTCATTTTGGTGGTCTGCTTTCAAAAGAATTCTTTATAAGAGACCAAGAGTTACATTGAAGACGTACGTTAGCGTCAGCAATATCCCCGAGTCATAAACATACTAAAAAAAGACCAGAAACCTAACACGTTGGAGCAGAGATGCTTGGGGCAGTAAGGAACTGGAGTTGGATCGTATCTGTGAGTTGTGTAAAGGATGCTAATACGACGCGTATACTGCGTAGAAAGAACGACGCCAGCACCAAATGAAGTTGCTGGAACTACGCCAGCAGCTCGCACGGTTCTTCGAAAGAGAACGAGCTAGCAAAGTCGTTTGCTTCTGGACCAAACGAGTCGCGGCCGAGAATGAGAGGGTGTAAAATAGCGCCTCAAAACCCATCTTGAGCCAAAAATACGCGCCTTATAACTTTCCTGTGTGCTAAGCGCATGCTCTTCTTCTTTGAAGACTCAAGCGATAAGTCTCTGAATCTCTTATGGAGATGACAAGTTCACCGAACTAGCACTCGCAGCGCCGTGGATCGGAATCTTCTTAACCCTAAATATTCGGGTATGATCCATGAAATTTGCAGAAACAGCAGAAGTATGCAGAGAGTTAGATTTTTCATTTCAGGATTTTCCAAGCCCAAGAGCTTCAATATCCCCACTGAATAATGGCTATCATGTTAAACTGTATAGGAGGCTCTAATAGAGCCAAGGTAAAATTATTGTGCATATCTCTCCATATATCAGTTGAAGCTTATTAAAGTTATTTTTTTATAATCATTCTTTCAAGCGCGATTTATTTATTAATTCCAATAACTTGATGAAGAAATATCATACGTAGTAGAATGCTGAAAGTTCAAACCAAACATCAGAATTTCGGTTAATAAATTTATTCCTAACAATCAAGCTGGGATTTCAGTCTCATATTGAATTATTAATATTTGACATAATCGTAGAACTAATTTATGTTTAGTGAGTATTCAAGGGCAAAGTTCTATTTCTATAGCTATTAGTCTTCATTATTACATGTTGAAATAACTAAAAGCAAAAAATATTTCAAAAACATGATTAGTTGAAACGCTCCGAATCTTCGTGCCCAGCAGCGCAGTCCTTCGCCAAATGCTATTGTGTGAGGGAGACAGAATCCTTTTCTCGGTGGGTAAGATTATGCAGATTCCTTTTGGGAACACGGCGCGGAGATGTTGTGTGGCTAATTAGAACACAAATGATCCGCCAGCTTACATGGACTGCGGTGGAGCTCGACTGAATAGGAGAATTGCAATCAGCACGACAGGCGCGAGCTCACTGGACCAGCGTACAGCGCACACTCACGGCACGCTGGTTGAGGGATTCATGGGATGACTCTTGC